AACTTTAAACTGTATTTTGTTTTAAAGTTTATATGTAAGGCCAAGCTTTTCATAACCTCATCCTAACAGTCAAACCAATTACATCATATAAATGACAAGATTTTCTCAAGCTTTTGAACATTGTTGAAAATGTAAAGCTTCTAGCACAGGAATATGAATCTACCCCCTAGTGCATCAATGCCCTAAAATGAATTTTTTGATAGGGCTTGGATGAAATTGTCATGAGTTTCATATGTTGCATGTTTAGTGAAAATGCAGGCTGTGTTGAGATCTTATCTTAATGAGCAGAGATAATCATAAACTTGAAACATGCACTTCATACTTAGCTTTGTATAACTGATCTCAAAGCCAGAGGCCTCTTTTCTAACATGATGCAATCTGGCCTTCCTGATGGAAAAGGGTTTCTTAACATAATATAATGGTTTGACTGTTGGATTATGACTCTGGGGAACAAGGTTCAAATCCCTGTTTGGCCATGAAAACCCACTGGGTGACCTTAGACAAGTTGCACTCTTTCATCCTCAGAGGAAGACAAAGGCAAACCTGCTCTGAACAAATATTGCCAAGAAAATCCCATGACTGGTTCACTTTAGGATCACCATAAGTAATAAATGACTTGAAGACATACAACAACAACAATTTAAAAAGCTCTAAAATAGCTTGGGACACCAAAAACATGAAAAACCTGCTTCTCAGACCCCCAATAAAAACTGCAAACCCTGAAGGAAAAAAAATTGACCTGAAGAACAAAAATTGCCCTAGACTGCATGTGGATCACACTTCCTCCATCCCTAACTGAGGGTTATGAAAGGTGAAGGAGATTAACAAATAATGTACAAGAGGAACTTGTTATTTTCATGTGCCTTCAAGTAACCCCTATCTTATGGTGACCCTATCACAGGGTTTTCTTAGCCAGATATATTCAGAGGAGGTTTGCACTGCCTTCCTCTAAGGAAATGGGAGTGTGTGTTGCCCCAGATCACCCACAGTTGAGTAGGAATTCAAACCTCCTTTCAGAGCCCTAGTCCAACACTCAAACCACTACACTGACTTGTTGTTAGGAGGCCATAAGAGAACCAAAACATCAAACAAAAACTACAGTACAAGCAGGAACAAGGCTGGGAATAGTCATGGCTGATAAAAACTAGCAAATTGGCAGGAGCCTGGGAGAAATGAAGACAAGCCCATAAGAACTGAATCACACAAAGAAAGAAGTAAAGTAGGACTGCAGCAGGAGGAAAGAATGCTGTGGATAACTGAAAAGAGGTTTGGAGGGAGGTATAGGAGAATCGAGCTGGGCAAAACTGGACAATAGAGAGCTGGAGGAGGATGGAGAAGACAAAGGAATGACCAAGAGCAGGATGAAAGTGATGGAAGGGTAAGAAGTTGAAAAAGCTGGAAGGAGAAGGGAAAAATTCACAAAGTGCAAAGACCTAAGGGAGAAAAAATAAAACTGGCAAACATATGTAACTTTAAAATATGAGAACCATCTGAAGAACCATACAGTACTTGCTAAAAGAGTTAGTTTTGAACTAGGAAATCCTTGGTTTAAAAGTAACCAAATTTTTGCCACAATCTTAGTACTGAGAAGACAAAGCTCCTCAGATCTGCAATCTGAAAGTAATAATACACATTTATCTTACCAGGTTGTTATAAATATTAGTGAGATATATGCAAAGTACTTTTAAAAATTAAAAGCAGATGGCAAGACTTATTAAGAGTAGGTACACATCTCTCCCATTGAAAAGCTAGTAAGTAGTTTTGTTATCTCCATCCCTTTTCAGAAATGATGCTAGATCCCCAGTGCCAGTAGGGAACAATGAGCAGCCATTTTCCCATTCTGAAAATAATATTTGGTTTGTTTTCTGGGAAAGGATGGAAAGTTCTTCACTGGGACCCATCTAGTCTACTTATCTTCAGTGATTTCTCTAGTTTAAAAACAAGATAATATAGAACCAAGTTAGAATATTCATAATATAACAAAAGAGTAAAATGATGTATGTCTGGATGGTGTGATTTAGTGGTTTGAGTGTTAGAATAGGACCCCAGGAGACCAGGGTTCCAATCCCCACTCATGCATAGAAACCTATAGTAGTGATCTTACTACAAATTACACACTCTTGGCTTCAGAAAAAGACAATGGCAAACCCATTCTGAACAAATCTTATAGCTTTGGGGTTGCCATAAGTCAGATATAATTTGAAGGCATGCATCACCACTGGATAATGTTTAGAAGGCTTACTTTGAATATATTGTCATCTTCTCCTGGAAAGTGTTCATGGTCAATGAACCCATCTACAAACACATGTAGAGTATATGAGAACCAGTTGAGAAGGAAACACAACCACACACAGGCACAGTGTGTGAAGAACTCACAGAGTTAAGCAGAAACTTCATGAACCTGTGCAAGAATATAGCAAACCCTCCCCAGGTTCAGTTTGTGGTGCATTAAAGCTATGGACCTACCCTTCCATTTTTCTTAAGTTATCTGGGTGTGATAACCTAGTACCACACTTCAAATGCCATCTGATGTTAGTCCTGAATTATAGAGAAAATCACACTGTGACTTACTTTCTTTTCCCTACTTCCCTCCCCCCCCCCCTTTAATTGCATATTAGCAAAGAACGTGGGCAATAGGTTACAAAATGTCAGCCAGGGGTGTGAAAGCAAAATCTTTTTTTACCTACACAAAAGGTGAAGGAAGAGTCACTAGAGGAAAATGTGAGAGGCAAACTAAATTCATAATTAAAAGAGAATTTCGTGTCACAGAATACAAAGTGACAGAGTATTTCTGACAGTAACAAGATGTGAAGACCATGAAGTTGGTACTAATAAGACAGCAGCACCTGGAGTTGTTAAGCATACTGCAGTGGCTCAAATGGTTAAGATGCTGACTCTATTGATTGCAAGATCAGCAGGTTGGCAGTTCGAGGCCCAGGTGCTGCATGATGGGGTGAGCGCCCATCACTAGTCCCAACCTACCAGTTCAAAAGCATGCAAATGCAAAAAGACAAATAGGTACCACTTCGGTGGGAAGATAAACAGCGTTCTGTGTAATTATGCTGGCCACATGATCACAGAGTAGTCTCTGACAACACTGGGTCTTCAACTTAGTAACAGAGTTGAGCACCTCCCCCTACGGTCGGACATGACTTGACAACCTTGTCAATGGGGAATACCTTTACCTTTTATCCCTATGAAAACTGAAGAAGTCAGCATGGCCATAACATCAGCAACCAGTGACAACATTCTGGAGTAAAACTACATTTTGTAATTATCTATTATGTTTCTCTCATACCTTGTATCACTTTAATTTTGAAAGACCTTTGGGGGACAAACATGATGTAGTTTGAGCACAGATCACTGTAATTATTTGCAGTCATTTTTGTTTTCTTATAGCTGTGACAGAAGCAGCAAAGTTCAATTAACATCAGGAAAACATTCAAGTGGGGGAAAACAGAAAGGTTGGTCATGCAAACAAGAGGGATGTATGTGTATGTTGATCCCCACAGACTATGAAAGTCAGAAGACTATCCTGAAATAACTGTAGCACTGAAACACACCGATAACTGCCTAGTGCTTACCATTACAGCCAAATGAAGGAGAAGCTGCCAGATTTCAAAAAGATTATTGTAAAAGATTTTGTAGCAATGTTTACTTCTGATGATAAATCAGAATGGACAACATAGATTAGAAAAGGAGGTTGGAAAGAACAACCAGATTTAGTAGCTCTATTCAGAAAATGCATCTACATACAATTAATGCATATTGTGAAGTTGTCAAGAGTTAGAGATGATGAACTCAAGGAGGGTAGGGGATGGAGTCCAGTTACCTTGTACTCATCTAATGATACTGTAATTTTATCTGTGAGCTGACTTGGGTCTCTCTGGGGAGAAAGGTGGCATATAAATGAAATAAATAATAATACTGGTAAATGCTCTGTTCAGGTGTTATGAAAACAGATCAAGGAAAAGATGAATGAGCACAATTTTCTGATGGTCATCTGAAAAGAGTCTTTGTCCAAAGTGCTGACTCTAGGACAAGAAAGAACAATGCGAATAATCAAAAAATAATTTGAGAATTTTGTATCATCTGCAAATTTCATAAGCATGTCCTCTATTCCATCATCCAAATCATTGATAAAGGTGATGAATAGCCCTGGGCTCAGCAGAGAACCTTGTGACATCCCACTAGTTACTTCTCTCCAGGCTGAAGAGAAAGCCATTGGAGAGCACCCATTGGGTTCAATTGGTCAACCAATTATAAATCCACCTAACAATAGCATTCTCTAGCCAACATTTTTCAGTTGGTCCTCTTTATCCATGGGTTCTGCATCCACTGATGGCTTGGAAATCTTCTCCCTCCCCTAAAAAAAATATTTGAGAGTCACCATTTTACAACACCAGTGTATATAATAGGACATGACTTTGGTATCTACAGGGAGTCCTGGACCAAAGCCCAGCAGATACCAACAGCTCACTATGCTGAAGAAAGTGTGCATATGAAGAATGTTGATGTTTTAACAACATATGATCAGGTTCAGCAAAGCAAGCCAACTTGAATCCTGTTTTGGGAGAAAGGTGCAATATAAATGCAATAAATAAAAATTAAAAGCAGAATATTACCAGATCCCCATATTGTTGAGTTAGGCCTATAAAATAGGATAGAACTAAGTACATTTTGTTCCAACTGTTGTATTTTAGTCGTTGGATTTTGTGTGGAATTAATTATCCAATAGCCTTTATACATTATGTGATTTCAGTGTTATTCATGTAAGATACATTGTTATTCTTGCACAGGGGTAGGCAACCTTTTTGAGCCGGGGGCCGGCTTGCTGTCCCCC